ACGATATTGTGAACCTATAAAGACAAATTCCTTGTCCTCACAAGGAATTCCTTGTGTGGATTTTCAGATAATTATATTGGAAAAAGTGGCTAAAATCGTCAAAATACCGAATATAGTGGAGCACCGTTATGTGGGAGCTATCGATATCGTTGACTTCTATAAACAATTCTTTTTGAGGGGGTAAAATGCTCACAAGGGACTCCTTTTGTGGAATCTCAGACAATTCTATTGAAAAATGTGGCTAAAATTATCAAAATGCCGAATACCGGGGGTACAGTTATATGGGGGCTATACGATATTGTAAACCTATATAGATAATTCTCTGCCGTGGTATAAAGTACCCACAAGGAACTATTTGTATGGATTTTGAGACAATTCCATTGAAAAATGTGGCCAACATCATCAAAATACCGAATATCGGGGGTACCGTTATATGGGGGCTTACGATATCGTGGACCGATATAGCCGATCTTCGAACTTGACCTGCCTGCAGAAAAAAGAGAGATCTGTGCAAAATTTTAGCTTCCTATCTTAATTAGTTTAGACTGTAGCGTGATTACAACAGACGGACAGACGGACGGACAGGGCTAAATCGTCTTAGAATTTTACTCTGATCAAGAATATAAATACTTTGTTGGGTCTAAAATGATTATTTCGTTGAGTTACAAACGGAATGACGAACTTAATATACCCTCCATACTATGTATGGTGGAGGGTATAAAAAAATCAAAACGAAAAAAAATGCATAACACCGACGAACTGTAAAAATAAGCTGCAATCTGATATTCTACGATTTTCATTGGATAGTTTAAATCCTTGCAAAAGCCATTCGATGAATATCCAATGTAGATATTCGATATATCAAATGGTTTGGTCTCACTTTACCACCAAATCCGCCGTTCGGGTTATTAGTTCAAATTCATATGTGATTTTGATTGGTCAAGTTTTCACATAATGGAAGGTATAAAAAGTTTCATCGAATGACATTTTTTGTTTCACTACTCAGAATGTGTTCATTTTTACTAATTAGTATATGGAAACAATAGAATGTGGATCACAGAATGCTTCCTTCTGGGGATCTATTCACTGAAAAAACAAAATGCTTGGAATTGTATCTGATACTTTCACTACCGAAAATTGGGAGGATAGGTAGTGGTAAGCGTTTGTGCATTTGTTTGTAACATGGAAAAGGATCTTCATAGAACTTTCGTCCGTCTGTTCATTTATTTTTGCGAACAAAATGCAGGTCGCATTTATTATCCAATTGAGAAGAAATTTTCCACACAATATATTGGCCAAAGGATTAATCCTATTGAAATTAGTGAGAATCGATTCAAATTGAGATATAACTACCATATATTCTAGAACCGATTTCGGGTTAATTGTGCACCAAATGGCTAATATCAGTCCAAATGACCTGAATTTTGGCAAATCCAACCGAATTCAGTCTAGAAACAAGTACTTCAAATGTGGTGAAAATCGGTGCAGACCATAACACCCATATATATATATTTCATCCGAATTGGGGTTTTAAGTCCCTCACATGTACAATATGTACTCCACAACAATAATCTTTGGTACAAGATATCAGATACAGCTCCGAAATAGGTGTTCAAAATTTTTTTCAAGATCGCTTTAGATTTGGATATAGCTCGCATATATAGCTTTATCCGATATCAAATTGAGTGTGCCCCAAAATGACTAATATCTGTCCAAGTGAACAAATTCATCTGAATTCTTACTAGAATAGTGAAAATCGGTTCAGACATAGCTTCAATATTTAAAAGACTTAGCGGTATTCTCAAAGCGATTTCACTGGCATATGCAGTTTAAAATAGAAAACGCTTGAATATTGAATCCCAATGCATTTATTTTAAATTATTTTTTTTACATCGTTATGGAGGCTTTGCCCCGCTTTTTTAAATTTTTTTTGTTTTCAAGGAAATAAAAAACGTGTCTCATCATACTTAGATCGACTTCTGAGATGATCTATATCAGGCCGTTCCTTCTGGTACCTCTACGACGCAAAAGTCAAAATTTTCACAGAAAATAATTTACAGTATGGAAAAATGCAGGATATCGGCCCACTCCATCAAGTACTTCCAACACAAAGGGTAAAACATTTGGAATGATTATAACTCTTATAAAATATGAGTCCGAATGTCTTTAAATTTAGCACATATCAATATTTTTGGCAACAAAAGATCTGGTATGGAATATATCGGCCTACTCCTTCGTGTACATTTCCCACAATGTTTCAAAATTTGGAATAAATTTCAAGCTCATAAAACGCGAAATGATCCGAATCCTTTCAAACTCGGTATGTCCCAATATTGTTATATAAACACAAAATCTGATGTGATACCTCCCCCAAAAAGTGGTCAAAATTTTGAATATCCATGAATTTCCTAAAATGCAAAATTAATATCCAATTCCATTTCGACATGGCACATCTCAATGTCGGATCGGACAATTTCTTCTGCTACCTTCTCCGCTACCTTCTCCACATTTAAAAAAAAAACTCAAGAAAAAAAATTATACATCCAACTCGGTTCAAATTTGACACATCCATCATTTTTGCTAATACAAGATCTTTGGTACCTCGCCCAAAAGGGTCACAATTTTAATTTTTTTTATCTGTCATAACTTGCGGAACAAGTCAGCGATTCTTTACTACTCCCTATATCTAAATATTTCTCTCAACAAGAAACCTGATATGAATGTGAAATTTATGATTTCCCATAAAATTGGATATAAATGTTCGGTTTTCTTGTAATTTTGCCCATACCAATATTTTTATCTGTATTAGATGAAGTATGAGAATGAAATACTTTGGTCGACAATATCTGATACCTCACGCACATTTTAACATTTTTTAGAAATTGTCACATATCTCATATAAAGTCAAGGAAGTAACCAATATAGTCCAAACTTGGCACATCACAATATTTATATCATATTTATTTAGATCCAATACTAAATGGACAAAATTGGACCATTTCTTCGGAACCCACTCCAAAGAGGGTCAACAATTTGAATAATTATAACAAAAGTCAAAATATATTTAAATAATCGAAAATTGGCTGAGGGTATACATCTGTCGGTAAAACCGACTGATACTTTGTAACTTTTTTCACTATCATTAGATGAAATGAAATACTTCGGTTCTCTATATATGGTACCTCATGTACATTTTAAAATTTTCCAATACTTATCACATATTTCATGTAATGTGAAGGAAGTGGTCGATCGTAATATTCATATTAGACTTATGTCAGATGCGGAATGGACAAGATCTACCCACTCCTTCGGAACCTCATACATAAATATTTTATCGTCAAAAACATTTTATACTTTTTAACTAATTCACATATCATACGTTTATATACCTTCCACCATAGTATGAAGGGTATATTAAATTTGTCATTCCGTTTGTAACACCTCATAATATACATTTTAAACCCCACAAAGTATATATATCCTTGTTCAGCATAAAATTCTATATCGATTCAACTATGTCCGTCCGTCTATCCTGATTTCCACCACTCTAGCTTCCGAACGAAATGAAGTGGGTTGATAAAATTTTACTCAAATATGTATTTTGTCTGCAGGACTTTTGGTATTGAAAATTGTCTGTGCAAGTCCACGTCTTCGTATAGCCCCCATATAACGGTATCTCCCGATATTCGATATTTTAATGTTTTAGCAACTTTAATCACCGGAATTGTTTCAAATGTGGTGTTTGAAGTTCGTAATGGATACTACAACCTATGACTGAAAATTGTCTGTGCAGGTCCACGTCTTCGTATAGCCCCCATATAACGGTACCTCCCGATATTCGATATTTTAATATTTTAGCAACTTTAATAACCGATTTTTTTTTAAGTTTCGCATCTGATTATTTTAATGGCTTATGACAAAAATTGCCTATATATATAGGTCACGTCGTCGTATAGATCCTAATGGACACATTCGGTATTTTTAAGATTGCAACAGAATTTTAGCGGATTTAATTTTTTTTTCAAAATTGCCAAATTCGTTCCAAATTGTAAAGGGTATTCAAAAACCATTTTTTATAAATTTTTTTATAAAAATTTAGTTTTTGCACAAAATAATAAACTTTTTAGTGTTTTCTTCCAAATATTTATCGGCAAGCGAAGACTAAGGTCTTCTTTCTCCTTTTGTACGACCTTATAAAATTGGCCTTGAGAACAGCCATTTTCACATTTCTTTCTTAGTTTGAAGTAAAAGACAACACAAGAAAAACTTTTTTTTTTAAATTTAAGAAAATGCGAACAAATTTTGAATTTGTGGAAAAAATCGGTAAAATTAAGAGGCACAAATTACGCTGAAAATTTCTAAGAAAAGTTAAGAATTTAAATTATATCGATAGATCTTAGCGACTTCGTTTTGTTTGAAAAATATGTTGTAAATCGAATACCGAATATCCGAAAGTTCCTTTGTATGTGCTCAATAGGAAAATCGTTCAGTTAAGAATTTCGTGAATTAACGAAATAAAATTTTTCTGTTATCGTTAATCGTTGTAAATTCTATCTTTAACTAACTATAGAATCGCCCTACTGATTTACATATCTTTTAAAATTACCCATACATTATTTTCTTTAGAACGAACTAAAACACCTTCCCTCACTTGGCAGCGGACAACAATTCAAATAAGAAACACTTTACAAATCACGCCAAGAAAAAAATCCATACACATTGACAGCATTGAAAGCATGTACAAATTGTTGCAAAATGGAGAAAATGCCGGTAAACTGCATCCATACACATGGTCATGACCATACACAACCATGTACAACAAACATATCGGGGTGTAGATAGAGCAAAACGAATGGATGAAAAGTTGCTTTTCAATTCACAAAAAAAAAAAAACACACACACACACAAAAGTTTCTCAAATGCTGACAAGCACATTTTTATTTTTTTGCAATCGTAAAATACATCATGCACACATTATACATGTTTAAGGAGGTACCAACCTTGTTTTCTGATGAGTATTTTATCCGGTGATTTTTTATTCTACTTTAGTCGTAGCACATAATCATTAACACCAATATCCAAAATTTTTGCTTGATATATTTTATTTGATATATATTCTTCAATTTATTTTTTGAGATTTTTTACAACATTTCTTTTTGATATTTTTTATTATTTTTCACTTTTTAAGCAATTTATTATTTTCTTCTTTTATTTTTTTTTTTTATTTCTAAATGATGTATTTCACACTTTCCGAACAATTTTTTTTAATTGTCAACAAACAACCAACCGTTCACTTCAACGTTATCCCGACGAAAGAGCGCAAAATGTTGCTTGCTTTCTGAGCCGCCTTTAGCACAACATCCTTATCCGCAGTTGGTGTTGTTGTTTTTATCCTATCTCTGGAAAATGTTCGCACAAACATAAATGGCAGAAAATGCATATAGCAGCACAACAATATATCTACGTATACAAGTGTGTTCTCCGTAACGGTGTATTTTGATGTAGGAGTTATGGTTGGCTTATATATACACACACATACACACGTACAAAGGTCCACAAAAAAAGTTATGTACTTAACTTTTGGCTGTGGCCGTGCATCAATGTTTGCATGTGGGTGGCAGGCAGTTTGCACTTTATATACTGTTGCTGTATACCACTGAGCTTGCTATTGTTTTTGTTTTCTTTTTTCTTGTTGTCGTTGTTTTGTATTTTAATTATGTTGTTTTTGTTTCGATTTTGTCTCGTTTGGACTGCACTTACACATTTACATATTTATGTACATGTTATTCCATTCATTACTCACTGTCCGCAATGACAATGGCGCTCTCTTTAAATTCACTCTCTCTCTCGCACTCTTTTGTAAATATTTACTCCACAAGTGCAATAGTACAACTCATCAATCACGCTCACCGTATGTTGTTGCACTTTATTTTCATTACATTTCAATGAGACTTTTTATTTGCTCTCTCTCTCTCTTCTGGCTTAATCTCTTCGTTGTAATTCTCACTCTCTCTCGATTCACTGTTTCTTTATTTCTATTTCAATTTCCCCATTTACTTCTCTCTTCAGAACTGCTCTACGTTGGCAAGTCTACTGCTGTTTCGAATATCCGCTAAAAACAACCGTTAACGAGCAGCCCCAAATTGCAACTGATTTTTGCTTGTGCAAGTCCTGTTCATTGAGGCCATTGCCGGAAAACGGATGCTGTGAAGCTGTGTCGATTGTGGGCTTAGGGCGCATGTCCTTCTGCAAAGTCCACACAATTCCGTCGTCAATCCACAAGAGTTCATTTATATGCCACGCTTGTTGTGTGTTATAACAGTTTTATGGCAAAATGAATTTTAGCATTACTTTTTAAGTCTTACCAGTATTTATACGGGTTTTTTTTGTGGAACAAACAACATTGTCCTGTTGAATAAATATCCACAAGGAGATGTGCAACAGGTGGTCTTGACACATGATGAATGTTGTAAATGTTGCTTAGTTACTCGAGTTTGCTATATTTGGTATTGAATTTTACTTTTTTTCGCAGAGGTAAAGCTTAAGGTTCCATATTAAAAAATCGTAGATCTCATATAAGAACAAGTAATAAATCTGTAAGTTTGGCCGGACCGAACTTTGAATACCCTCCACCAAAAAAAATCTATTAAAATCTTAAAAATACCGAATGTAGCAGTTATATTAGGGTCTATACGACGACGTGGACCTGCATTGGCAACTTTTGTCATAAATCATTACAATATTCAAATGCTAAAGTTGAATTAAAAAAAATCGGTAATAGTGTTGCTAAAATCATCAAAATGCCGAATATCGTGAGATACCGTTGTATGAGGGATATACGAAGATATGGGGGATATATATGAGGGATATACACAGACACTTTTCTGTCTTAGACTGTAGTATCCGTTGTGAACTTCAAATAACAAATTTGAAAAATTTCTGGTGAATAATGTTGCTTAAATCACTAAAATACCGAAAAAGGGGCCTATATCAATCAGTGGACCTACATGACCCATTTTCAATACCAAAAATCTTTCAGACATAATAAACATTTGAGTAAAATTTTATCAACCCATTTTCAGTACTAAAAGTCCTGCAGACATAATACACATTTTTTTATCAACTTACTTCATTTCTATCGGAAGCTGGAGTGATTTCCATAGACGGACAGACGTATGGACGGACGGACATCGCTAGATTTTTCGACATAGAATTTTTTGCAGATCAAGAATATATGTACTTTGTGGGGTCTAAAATGTATAATTCGGGGTGTTACAACCAGAAAGACAAACTTAATATACCCTGCACACTATGGTGGAGGGTATAAAAAGGGTGATTTCAGCTTGTCCAAAACTTTGAACACCCTAGTATAAGGCTGATAGGCCGGGAGATGTTTGCGATAATACAGGTGTTGGTTGCGGATGACAACATTCGGTAATGACGGTGTGTGTTGAGGTTCGGGTTCTGCGATGGTCGGAATGACGACGGCCGATGATCAGGGAACGAATGATACGATGAGTTTCGAGAAATCGGCTGATGATCGGGAAGCGTCGAAGATGCGATGATTTTCGGGAATTCAGTTCATGATAGGGAGCGACGATGCGATGAGGATTTCGGTTGATGATCGGGAACGACGATGCGATGAGTTATTAATACTATTTCTACGGTCTACGATTACAAACTTGTAATTGTACGAACAGGGAATTAAAACTCTAGTAGGGTACAGTAAACCGAAGTCTATGTAGGGAACGGAAACCTCCGTGGGATACAGAAAACCGAGGTCTCCGAATGGGAAAGCAGAAGCTTCCGTGTGATACAGGAAACCGAAGACTCTGTGTGGGACGGAAAGCCGACGCTTCCGTGTCGTACAGGAATCCGAAGACTTTGAGTCAGACGGAAAGCCGTGGCCTCCGTGGGGTACAGGAAACCGAAGTCTCTGAGTGGTACGGAAAGCCGAAGCCTCCGTGGGGTACAAAAGTTTTAGGTGGAATTTTGGATGACAGTCACCATTGATTCGGGGGTGCTAGATAAGGCTGGGTTTTTTCGAAACTCTTCCTATAAGGGTACGAAAAGTACAAACAGGTACTAATTATTTTACCTTAAATTGTGGTACGTAAGTTCGTCTATGATAGACATAAAAAATATACGGAAAACATTTTGGAAATTCGCACTATGAAAACACGAAAAATTACCAAATATTGTACCATTGGTATTCAATGAACGGATAGGGCTATAATTCTGAAATTTGAAATGGGGTCACTGGGGGTGAGAGGTAAAATCAGCTGTATCCATTGTCTTTATAAAGATTTTTCCCTTTCCTGTGCTGAAATTTAGTTGTTTGATTGATTTAAACACTGAATGACAATACAGTGTGGCGAACGGACTTCAGAGGCGCTCGGGAATCCTAAGAAGGGTTTTTCGATTGATGATCGGATATTCGACATTTACGTTTTGACATATCTCATAGGAAATAGACGACTCATGGACAATCGGAAGCTATGCGATTGATACTCGGCTGGTTGATGTGAAGTGTGATTAGCCGCGGATTCCTCGGATTTTGACAAGTGAGGAAGACCAGGAATGCTCTGGCTTTCGGGGTGGTGAGTTTAGGGTTATTGGGAACTTGTGGATGGGCGCCAGATGGAATGGAATTACGATGCTTATGTTCGGGTGTCTACGATGTAGGTGGATTGGAAATGTTATTTTCTGAAAAGTTTAATCGAAAAATTGAAACATTCTTGTATATACAAAGTTTATGAAAATTTCACAAAATGGTCCATGCTAGACTTATTGTCAATCTAGTTCATAGTTCAGTACTCCAGCTGCTGAACGTATGAGTAATTTCATATATTTTATATCACTCATACGCAGCCTTTTCATACAAATGACGGAAGCGGAACTAGATAAGGAACAAGTTGTTCGATCCAACTATATTAGCACAACTCTAGTCCAGATCCTAAAAATAACTCCTACATCAAATAAGACTAACAGTAAAAAAATCAAGCACATAATTTCCACTTAAAGTAAGAGTACATAAATTATAAGTTTAATTTTCTATGCTATTCGTGATGGAATTTAAGCGTGATAGTGTGATTTTTTATATTTGGCTGGAAAACCACAAGTGGCTATCGTTAGAGCGCTCCAGCATTTAAATGTGAATAAATCTTTTGTGTCTTGTACCATCGCTCGTTACCGTGATACTGGTAGCGTAGCCCGACGTCAAGGAAGTGGACGGAAGAAAACAGCAACATCATCAGAAATGGTTTGAAAAGTTAAGAAGCGACTTGATCGAAACCCGCGTCGCAGTGGCCCAAAAATAGCTCGTGTGCTGAACATATCACAATATTCCATTCGGCAAATATTGAAAAATAAGCTCGGGGTAAAGCCATTGAGTTCGATTTTCTATAAATTTGCACATAAAAATTTCAAAATAATTCTCGTATTTATATCCTGCAGCACATGGCTGTAAGTGTATTATGTCTTTGTGCATTTGTTTGTAACATGGGGAAGGAAGAGTGATAGACCCGTAGTTACTTTTGAGGATCTTCATGGAATCACTTTCTTAGTCGATTTATGCATGTCAGTCCATCTGTCCGCCCGTCTGTCCATCTATTCTTGACAACAAAATGCAGGTCGTATTTATTATCCGATTGAAATTAAATTTTCCAAACGATATTTGTTTGGCTCATGGACGAAACCTATTGAAATTGGGGAGAATCGGTTCAATTTTGGGTTAATTGTGCACTAAATGGCCGATATTAATTCATCCAATAATCCATATTGGTACATCCGACCGAATTCTGTCTGGAAACAATCACATTAGATTTGTTGAAAATCGTTTTAGATATAGCTATAGCTCCCATATATATGTTTCATCCGATTCGGTGTTTAAGTCCCTCACTTTCGTAATATGCACTCCACAAGAATGATATTTGGTACCAGATATCAAATACAGCCAGAAATACATCTGCCAAATTGTATCAAGATTGGTTCAGATTTGGATATATCTCCAATATATATCTTTAAACGATTTTGGGTAAAATTGATCATCAAATGGCCAATATCAGTCCAAATTATGATGAATTTTTGCACATCCGACCGAACTCAGATCAGAAGCAAGTACATCTAATTTGGTGAAAATCGGTTCAGATATGGCTATAGCCCCCATATTTCATCCGATTTGGCCGTATAGTACCCAACATTCGCAATATGCATTCGGCAAAAATGATATTTGGTACCGGATATCTTAAGCTAAGATTAGGATATAGCTTCCATATATATCCTTAATCCGTTTTCAGGTTTATTCTGCAAATAATGGCTAATATCAGCCCAAATGGAGTACATTTCCGGATCCGTTATATATTTTCTAATATAATCCTTCTCGAAGTGATGTCATGCACTCTATAGCAATGTTATTTGGTATAAAAAATCTCCGTTAAATTTAGTGAAAATCGATTCAGAATTAGTTATACCTCCCATATATTAATTCCTTCTGAAACCAATTTCAACTGCTATAAAGGTAAATCTTGACAAGTGGTATGGTCTTCTTCGAATAAATTCTTTTATTTCGGAAGCTTTACAAAATATTCATAGTGGTCCGCTCGGCTTTTGACTTCCCTTACTGGTTTTATCTACAATATTACCGAATATACTACGTAACTAAAATCAACAGATTCCAAGGAACCTCAATCCGATTTTTTTCATCAGTAGAAATATTCGTTCCACGACATCAACCTTGGTTTCAATTTTCTAAAATAATGTCTCAATGCGAGTAACTTGTAAACCGCAACTATTTATCTATACTCATATACTTTTGCATGTAAATAATCGTTGGTCACGCCATACCTTACCATAATCCCTAATTATGCCGACAAATATACTAATCGACAATTCCTGCTAAATTGTCTGCAAACCTAAGTAATTACCGGTACTTAAAATGCTTATATATCATAGGCAACGAGAGAAAGAGTCCATCTTAACTTACAGCGATCAAAATAAGCTTCTTAAAGACACACTTGACAACTCTTTTGGGGAGAATAATTCACCAAAAAAAAAAAAAAAAACAAACCAAACCAAAGAAGACGAAGCCAGAAAAAAGTTAGTTGCGAAAACAAAACAAAAGAAA